CTTAATTTTATTTATTTCTTATTCTATTTTAGGTAGCTTCTTACGAGTATCTTGAAAATTGGAAAAACGCTCTGCTGCGTGTCAAGGAACGCTGTCATTTCTCAATGCACTACATAAGAGCACTCACCAAGGAACATCCAGACTATCTCTCACTAATGGACACTGAAGTGAAGTCAGAAATCTTTCCAGATAGCTGTCTAGACTGGTCGAATCATTCGGCGCAGAAAGCCAATAATTGATTGCTTTAAGGGAATCGCTGGAAATATTGAAAGCAAACGGACTATTCGAAGACACCACCTTCGTTTTTCTTTCGAGTCGGGGAAATTCACCGAAGTAAGAAACAATTTTTGAGGACATATTGTGTCAGGAACCACTAATCTAACTTGCCCTCCTCTGATTCCATACGTAGGGTTGGCAATGCTCCAGTGGCTGATGCTCCAGTGGGCAACAATTTAGTCGCTTTTACCGAAGGAAGCGTTCTATTATCTATAGTGTCTTTATCGTCAAGCCTGCCAATTTCGCTATTCGTTTTTATTCGGCTTTCGGAGTGAGGTTGAAGGGTAGGTCCACGGAAAACCCCTGCATCTATTCTTATTACAAATTAATACTTCGGCCCCCTTGTATCATGAAAACTGCGAAAAGAACGCAATACAGGCTTTCAAATAGTAACCGGAATAATACTAAATAATCGTAGTAAGCGGTTTAAATAATGTTCCAATGAAATGATAATAAAATTAATTAGTGAGACTATTGGAATTACCTCCGTTAAACTGCGACATGTATTAACGATGGGGAACCAACTCGTGCAAACGTGTAAAGTGAAAATATGAACGGATTTCACGTTGCATTTTTCCAGAAACTTACAGTAACTCCGTGACTTCAATCACCCTAATTTCCGGTGGGTGTGCACTTTTAGTCCAAAGCAGGGTGAAAATCGTGTCGAGGACGTGGTCAGATCAGTACGACCCCCCCCTCAGATCGGGTCTTGATACGACCCCTCTAACTTTGATTTGATGTGAATAAGCGAGTTCCATCAATGTACAGCAAAGCATTCAGTTGCAGCGCGGTTTATCCGTGGGTCAGATTTGCCGAAACCCCGCTCGAAACCGTCGAAATCTACACTCTCGATGAAAAGGTTCCATTCCCCCATTTCATAACCTTTGGAGCAGTATGTGGTAGGGTTAGATAGAGCTGGATTTGCTACTACCGGGCAATATTGAAATTGATCTAAAAGCTTTACACTCGAAGAGATAGGGTCTCTCAAATTTTGTCGAGGGAGCGTCGAGGATGCTGAATTTTTCATGCGAGTTTTTGCCACTTAAAAGGCAATATCTCTCTAATTTCGCAAGATCTTGGAAAGCGAAGACAGTTTTGGAAAGCGGAAGGTTTGCGCTTTCTAACAGTCTGTTTAGCTTCCTTCTACATTCTCTAGTTGAGGAGATATTTGCGTCGAGGATCTATCAAGGATGATTCTCGGCCGCTCATTTCAAACCCGCTCATTCTTCGTCACCCAAGTGATTGAAACCAGTAAACATAGACCTTATAAGCGAATCGTAATTTGTTGCACACCGCCAGCTCGAAAATCAAGTTTAGAATATATCTCCAACTTAAGCGAACACAGAAAAAAGAAGGGTACATCGTCATGGTCCGATTCGCCGTCAGTATAAGCCATTGCATCCAGAACCAACCACTAAAGCTGGTAAAAAATCTATTGAAGAAGGATGTCACACATATGATTATGACCTGTTGACAGAAACTGCATTTGTATTAAACACATTTCCGTAACTCCTGTAACCTAAGGAACAGCTTCATTCGCCCATGGTCTTTCCAGAACTCTTGCCGATGCGACACTCCCTAACAACTGCCTCATTTTCAACGAGGTATTAAGGGCGAGAGAGCGGGCCTAGATAAAGGAGGTGCCTCTACAGCACGTGTACACATTGCGGAGATGCACTTTCATTCCTTGTACTGCTTTCAAATACGTCCTTCTCATAAAGGTAAAGGAATGGAGCGACTGGACCTGCAAAGAATATTTTATCTCATGTTTTCTCACATATCCTTGTTTTCTGCTGCGCTACGACAACACCCTCATTCTCTCCCATCTGACGTTACTGACCCCAATGAGTACGACCCCCCATGACCCACCCTGACAAGTACGACCCCTCCTGTCGAGGAAATTTTCGACTGATACTCACCCTGGTCCAAAGTGCAATTATGGGGAGAGGAACATTATCGGAAGCCTTGAGTCATTGCTCTAAGGAATATGTTTGCTGACCTCTTCCCTCCTGCAGACACAGTGCGATAATTGTTAATGAACCTTATATTAAAGGGAGACATTCGTTATCAAACTGTGTGCTGCGGGAAACAAAAACAAAATAATAGTCGAAGCAAAAAAGATAAACGCACTAATATCCATCTTAAAGAGTACCAGGGGTAAAAAACACACAAATTCGATCCGCAAGCTTTTGTAAGCAAAAGACACTATTCGAAATGCTCAATCTCAAATCTCTTTCTTTCATATACTTGATTGAATCCATTTCGTGTGTAGAAAACTGCACACTTGTATTCAAAAAGGAGAAAGATCGCCGACACACGAATATGTGAATCCCCACGTCAGGGTCTACTCAGGTTAGAGCAGAGCCAAATTTTTGGGAAATAAAAACAACTTAAGGAAACACTTCTGCCGCTTGAATGGAGAAACTTTCCATCCCAATGTAATCAACGGACACACCTTCTTGTAATAGTCACTTCATTAGATGAATGCAGCTCAACCTAGAAAGTATTGTGCGAGGTCAGCAGTCAGCACAGTCGATTAATAAGTGAGGTAACCCCGCAGACGATTACTCGGTGAAGGTTCAGGGTAGTGATTAAAGGGTCCTTTTTGACTGCAGTCGCTCCCCATTCTCCTGGTAAGAATTAACCCAGAGCCATGAGTCACATAAATACCAATCCGACCTGCGCAGTGTAATTGCGTACATCTAGAGACTGCCGTATGTTTGTTCATATGGATTGATATTTGATGCTGACTGTTTTGGACATGGCATTCATTTTGGCGACTGGCGCCAACTTGTGCGCGGGCAGCGTCGCCCCCGCCTTGGCACAGCGCTTGTTCGCACCAAATTTGATGTAAATTTCTGTATAGGAGTTATTTGGTATCCTGACTACTATGCGATATTCATTCTTGGCGCCTACGCAATTTGGCGCCTTGTCTGCGCCCTCCCACTGGTTAGATCGGGAAATATGCGTTGAACAACGCTAATGACAGGAAGGAATGCCATTTCCGTAATCAGGGCACCAAATTACCCCACTTCAAAAGTTTACACAATTTTCGAAATTCACGCATTCTCTTCTATGCCCACACAGGCATAGAAGAGAATGCGTGAATATGTGGGAGCAATAAACAGTTTTCCCGCGAACGACTCCTTTAACCCTGTTTTCCCTTCTTAAAATTCAGGCAGCATTATCCATTTTTGAAGGCAAAGGTCGGGCTCGTTTTGAGCCGTTTTTTTTTCTGTACTATTGGGTGAAAATGGTGTAGGCAATGGTATGGCAAGTGGCACGCTTACGACTACACCATTTCCTCCACTACGCGAGCGGTCCGGGGATCAAATCCTGGGTCGTGAGTCGCCCGGGCCAACCAAGCCTTCCATCCCTCCGGGGTCGGTTAATTGGTACCAGACTTGTCTGGATAAAAACACTGACTTGTACATCGGCTGGCCCCCGCAAGTCATTGTATAGGCCACATCGCATTCAAACGCCACTACGAATGTACAAATGGAAGTAGAATGCGTGCCGCATCCCAAAAAGGGATTGATCAACGGCAAATGCTTTATCCTTTATCCTTTTATGCTTGAAACTGACAAGGAGTTTGGAGAAATGGAGCAGTCTTGAAGAAAAACGAAAAGAAACCGTAGTCAAAAATACAAAAAAGGGTCGGAAAAAATAAGGTCG